TTTTATTACAGTGTTTTGGAAAGCTCTCGAGATAGGCTATAAAAATATGCAATAAAATGTAGGGGGTTCCATTAAAAAAAATAAGGTTGACCTTGAAATGACCTTAAAGGACATGGTCAAGGTCAAAGTCATCATCTTACTCCTCGCTTGAAACCATACAACTTTACTATTGGACATTTTCTCCAAAATGCATTCTAACTGAAGATATTAGGGGGGTCCGATACTTTTCGATGACCCTGTATAGATATGTACTTAGTACTTCATGATAAATTATAAAAAAGTTCTGTACACATTATCAAAACTTACCAATCAAATAAGTTCTCCTTTCATCATTGTTATAAAAATATTCCATGACATTTCTGATTGGAGAAGCATTCCAAATATAGGCATCATTCCTTGCTCCTGGATATCTTGCGTTAATATTGAATATTTTTAAATCTGGATCAACTATCTACAAAAATTTATACGCAATTACATATTGATATTAATATTAAATACTCAGAAATAGTTAAAAAATGATAACAATTTTGTTTTATAACCAATTCGGTCACTTGCATTATACTAAATTAGTGTATATTAAACTGCTGTATGTGAAATTAGCAAAGTTAAATATAAATATATAAATATTTTAAACAGTTATATACATAATAATGATGTTGTTGTTTAACAGAATATATGTATATTATTTTACTGTCAAAGTGATTATATTATGTGCTACTGCATTTAGATACTTTATATAAAGCAGCATTTAATGTGTGTATGTACTAATCCAATGTAGTGTAACTCACTAAATTCACTATTAATGAGTTACAAAACAGGCAAGTCACACACGACTGACCTCATAAAATTTGTCTATTATAATTTAATATTCATAAAAATCAATATTGCAATCTTATAATAATTATATACAATATTATATGTACATATATTTTGTTAATGTATTATATTTTACTTAGTTTAAAAATGAATAATTGTAATTAACATAAAGTATAAAACTGTATAAGTTAGAAAACTTACTGCTTGAACATTTAAAGAATGATTTCCGTGGTGGTTTACATAGGCCTCTTCATGTATATATGGTGCAAGAATATTAACATGTGTGCAATCTATTGCGCCTATAGCACCGGGAAATAGTTGTGGAGCTAATGCAAATTTATTTTTTGCAATTGTTCTTTTATTTGCGGTCATAGGAAATCTTATCCATTAACGCAATAAATATATGTTCATTAATTGTGCCACTTTTCTTATACAACAACTAGCACATGGCTTACAACTAATTCACATTGATTACCGATCTTTGGTAGCTACCATGAGCAAAGAAGCCAAATGCTATTAATACTTATATCTCTGGAGATAAGCCAGTTATACGCTGTTTTTGCAAATGTGGCCTCAAAACATTAACAATATCTATAACTATTTCCTTATTCACTCTAAATTGCGCGATGAATTCATTGTTAGGGAGCTCAAATGGATTTTGAGTATCGTGCAATAATCTTCTTTCTAATCGTCTTTCTAGCATTCTTACTCTTTCTTGAAGAAAAAGTATATTTATTGCTAAATATCCGTCAGCCATTTTACACTAAAAAGAAGAAATAAAGAAATCATAATAAAATTTTAATGAAAAACATTTCATTTACTTTACACATATAAAGTTTATAAATAGAATATAACCTAAATTGATTTATATATATATTTTTTCAGATATTTTATAATTAGATATTATATATTGGGTAATTATACAGTTTAGCTCACCTCAAAAATCGATGAACATAGGCTCATTTGACGCGTTTTTGCTTAAAACGAAAGAATCTGGCAGAAATAAGCGTCGCTCTGCCCCGCGAACCGAGTTATTAAGCGTTAAAGTTGAC